TAGGCCATGAGATCGGAACCACCATTCAAACGCACGGCCATGAACAAGCTGGGAAACATGATGGTGGAATCCTCCATCGTTCTGGGAGTGGCAGTTCCAGCTCCGTAAGTTAAACTAATAAACTATCTTTCATATTCATATATATAATTTATTTCTAAGAAATAGAGATAAAAAAAAAAAGTGTAAATTAATTGATGTTGTGGATGCAGTCTGAGGATGATGGGGAGGGAGGAAGAAGGAAGAAGAAAGGTGTGGTGGAGAAGATGAAGGAAAAGTTACCTGGTGGTGATCATGGTGGCGATGAGCAGAAGACATCAGCCACCACCGTCGCTGGTGGATATGGATATGAAGCAGGGGAGGAAGGGCATGAGAAGAAGGGACTGATGGAAAAGATAAAGGAGAAGTTGCCAGGGGGTCACCAGTAATCACCCGTCTGTTTGGTTGAGTCATGAGATGCTATATATATATATATATATATATATATATATATATATATGCATACACAGATGATGTTGCTATATGTATATATACACAATAAGCTGCTTTGTGCCTGGGGTGTGTGTGATATGGCAAGGCAGGGGTTGGGATACGTACAGCTTTATTGTAATGTTATCTATTTATACGTTCTATTGCCGTTTGTCTCTTTTCCCTTTTCTTTTTCTATTGTATGGTGTGAAAAAAATAAGAGTAAAAGTATCGGTATTTTGTAGGTTCAAATCTAAGGAGTAATGAAAATTTCTTTGTGGTCATGAAGGTTTAAATGAGATGACTCCAGACTATCTGTAAAACAGATAATTATCATGAGATTAGTGGACTCGTATAACGTGTTAGATATCCAAGTCAATAAAAAAATATGAGTAAAATCCAAAACCATGGTTAAAAATATTAAAGAAAATGTTTTACAATTATAGCTTTATCAACTTGTGTATATATATTAGCTAAAAATATTTAATTTAAAAAAGAGTAGACAACAAAAATTTTGCTTCGTTATTGAGATTTTCTTATTAGGTCCTTCAAACGAAATAATTACATTTTATGTTATTGTGATTTCTATTTTGTTTCGATTGGGTCCGTTGTACTAATTTCACCAACCGATGCTCAATTAAGTCAGGAATAATATCGTCTTTTTATAACTTTATTTTATTTTTAAATTATCTTATTTTCTATATACTATATTATAAATCATTTGACAAAAACTCTTAAAAACATTTTTTTATGCATAAAGTACTGTTTATTGATGCATATTACTTAAAATTCAAGATTACAAATTGATTGTACGTAAGTACAACTTATTAAATCTTTATGTTTGAATTCGTATAACTAACTGCAGATAAACATAATCAAATACATGATAAACATCATTTAAATATAAAAAATATAAAATATAATTAACATAATCATTGAGTTCTAACAGAATATTTAATTATTATCTTAAAAAATTATTTTATTAAACCAAAAATAAATTAGTTTGTTTTTAAAATTCAAATAAATTATAATAAAAAATTAAATTAAAGAAATTACATAAAAAAAACTTTTAAATAGTTAATTTGATACTAATATCGCTTATTTTTATCAAAATTTTATGATATCTTCAAATTTATATTTCATTCACAAATAAAAATATTTTATTTTTTTTCAAAACCACATAAAATCGCATTATAACATTGATAGACTCAAAATATAAAATGAAACATTAAAATCAAGATGTATCTCGCTGCATTGTGCAAGTATTCTTCTAGTATTTAATGATATATATAGAGGTAAACGTATCCATCATCCCTGTCTATCAGTCCCTTCCCTTCCCCGGTCGTCAGTGACCACCCCCTCCATCCGGGACCTCTGTTTTTCGACACAGCATCTGCCACGCCGGCTTCCTCCTATCTGGCCGCATCTTCTCGTCACACATCATCCTCCGGTCCCCTCCTCCATTCGCTATGCCTCCCTCTCCCTAGGTATGTTTTTTGGGACAAATTCTGAACCACCGGACACCAAGTTCAACTTCGTTTTCCAAGTCTGTTTTTCCTGTGATCTCCATTTCTAGTTTCAAAACAGCTGGAAGACTTCCACAGTAAACTTTACCAATAAATCAGTAATAAAACTTAGAAACCAATAAATTCTTTGAAAATAAAAATAAAAAATCACATGTCAAAAACTAGATGAAAAACAATAATTCTAAATCGAGTGTTGAACAAAATTATGTAATGTTTGTGTTCTTCAATCTTCAATAATGACATGAACCTAAATCTAGCAATCTACAAAAGGGTTGAAACCCTCTACGTACAAAACCAATCAGCATACCAATCTATTAATAAATTTGGGACATGAAGCATCTTCAAGGACGCATCCACCACTTCACAAACCACCATTTTTTTTATTAACTTGATATTCAACTCGTTACGTGAGCTGACTAATCCCAGGGTGACCACCTGTTTTGCAAATAGCCCGAAGTCATCGCATTTGAATCTCCATGGTCACAAGAAGATTTTTATTCTTCCTTAGATTTGAACCTTTCATCTTCATAAAACAACAAAATGTAAAATCAACTTTAATTTACACTTTAAAAAAAATCATAAAAATTTAGAAGATAAATTACAAGGTGTTTGATTAAATTGAGTTTGACTTTAAATGTCAAATTAAAGTGTCACAGAGGTGTTTGATTAGTTTAAGTTTGGCTTCATATGTCAAAAATACATAAAAACAAATATTCAAATACAATAACTTCAGATTACACTCACGTCATATTACACTCAAAACAGGTGGTTATCAAATGTATTTTTTTAAATATTTGCTTCTTCTTTTTTCTTATCATATAGAATAATATAAAATAAAAATTGAACTTTAATTTTACATCCTATTGCAATACCAGCGATAGACAACTAACGTCGTTATCATATGAAATAAAATGACAGATAATTCCAAAACCTTATCGAAAAAACTCACTCACTCCATGATCGATCTCGGCCGACATTGCTTTACACATGTCAATCACCCTTTCGTAGGTTTCTTTGGAACCTTCCAAACCCTAACGTACGTGGCACGTGAGGATTCGATCTCCAACGTGTACGGTTGTGCTGTTGCCATGCATCTTCAATCCGCCACATACCATATATCTTTAATCAATCCCATCATCTCCACTCTCTTTCTCTCTCTCTCTCTCTATATATATATATATTGATCTTTAAACCCATCTCATATCTCATCATCAATTCTACATTTTACATACTCTGCATCAATCTTTTATACCAGAAAAAATGGCACAATACGGATCAGGAGATGAGCAATACGTAAAAGAAGGTCACCACAATACCAACGAGTATGCTCACAACCCACTTCAGTCCACCACCGTAGGCCATGAGATCGGAACCACCATTCAAACGCATGGCCATGAACAAGCTGGGAAACATGATGGTGGAATCCTCCATCGTTCTGGGAGTGGCAGTTCCAGCTCCGTAAGTTAAACTAATAAACTATCTTTCATATTCATATATAAAATTAATTTCTAAGAAACAGAGATAAAAAAAAATCAACTATAATTAAATTGATGTTGTGTGTTAATTGTGCATGCAGTCTGAGGATGATGGAGAGGGAGGAAGAAGGAAGAAGAAAGGTGTGGTGGAGAAGATAAAGCAGAAGTTACCTGGTGGTGATCATTGTGGTGATGAGCAGAAGACTTCAGCCACCGCCGTGGGTGGTGGTGGTGGTGGTGGATATGAAGCAGGGGAGGAAGGGCATGAGAAGAAGGGACTGATGGAAAAGATAAAGGAGAAGTTGCCAGGGGGTCACCAGTGATCATTTTATTTCACCTGTACGTCCTGTTTGTTTGGTTGAGTGAATATATATATATATATATATATATATAATAATCTGCTTTGTGCCTGGGTGTGTTTGATAGGGCAAGGCAGGGGCTTGGCATATGGTTTTGTATTTTGGGGCGTGATTTGTAATGAAGTGCATCGTGATATATACGTTCTATATCTTCTATTTTAATTTTATTGCAACTTTTCTATCTTATATTTCTTTTTTTCGACTTGTCAAAAGGATAATACGTCATGAAATTGGATTTGGTTTTATGAAAACATGTATTTATCTGGAATAAAATAAGAATAAATTATTTTGTTATATAACCTAAATTAATTTATCAAAATTTTGAATTAGAGAAATTACATAAAAAAAAACTTTTAAATAGTTAATTTGATACTAGTATCGATATGTTTTTTTCAAAAATAAAAACATTATAATTTTCTCAAACCATACAAAACCATATTATATCAATAGAGACGTTTCTAGTTATTTTTTAAGTTCCTTGAAATAAAAAGAATATAAAAGAACGGACTTTTGTGTAATTTAATTAACAAATCAACTAAATTTCGCCACAAAATTCGCCAATGAACATAATTAATATTTTTTTCGAAAACACAATGGCAGGTTTATGACGAAAATCAGAGAAAGGTTTACTTTTTCCATTCGCCGCAAATTCATCAGAAATTCCGTGGATAACACTTGTTTTTCTAGTAGTGTGTTGTTGGTTTAGGAGGAGTTTGTTTACCTCTTAATAGTTTCATTGAGAGACTCTCTGAATCATTAAAAGGTGAATCTTATTAAGTAAAAAAAAAAACCAGTCTCTTAATGGTTCTAAAATTATCTAAACGGATTTTGCTTCTTGGGTCTCCCTTAATCATTCAGCGCCCTAATTTCATTGTAAACAATTATATTTCATTTTACACTATATCATGAGAGTTTCTTAATTATTCTAAACCACCTAATCATTCTGCACCAAACCATTCAGTAACTACCAAACAGCCCCTTAGTAGCATCTGAGCTATCACCAGAGTCCAGTCCTCGAAATATCAAAAGTTCAAATCTCACAAAAGACAGAAAATGCGTGCAAAGATTATAAACATGTGCAATATGTCATTAGATTCAATAGCAAGCCGACAATAATTGGAACAAGCTTTTATCCAATTCCATCAAGCACTTGCATGTACACAAGAAATACATTCAAATGAGTCACTTCGAGCAAAATCCAAATGTAATGGTTAAGACGTAGGGATGTGGTGAGATATTTCATTTGTCCGGGTTTTATTTTAGACGTCAACAACAATTGTATATTGAGTTTCTCAAGACTAATGTTTTACGATCATGATTTACCTGGATTAGTATTGACATCATTTAGGATACCCTTAAAGAAACTTAACAACATCACCATGTTAGATAAACACAAATGATGCTTATTTACCGGCAAACTGCATCGTACAATAATACTGTATCAAATTATATAATTTAGAATTTTCGTGATACACCTTTTTTGTTTTCTTATACCCCATCATGCTATTTGGGTTGGGTTTTGAATCATACCAAAACACGTCCACGTACCAAATTTTTCAGTGTAGTACTTTACAGTTTGAGTTCAAATATGCAGTACACTTTACAGGATAACTGTAAATAACATCGTCCAATAAACACCCATGATAAATATAAAACATATATTCATATGTTAATTTAATTCCTATCTTCACCAAAAATTGTTACAGGTACATACACCATTACGAAAATGATGAAATCTGGAATTATCCCTAACAACAATCTCCCTACCACTAATCTTGGAAGCCCCACACATAACCACATGACAATCTTCACATATTCTTACATTCTTCACGATCCTAATCCTCCTGCAATCACCCAACAATCCATAACCCAATGCAAGCTTTTCACTATGCCCCCATAATATCTTCATCTTCTCATCATCACCCACATCATATGGTACACAACTCAAAATAGGCATATACCCATCTAACCTTAATCTACACAAAAGATCCTCCAACTCCTTCTTGATCTCGGACGTCTGTGGATGACTCATATCGCCTGCAAGAAACTCGTGAATCGCCCCTTTTGCCCCTTCTATCCAACTGCTTGCAGGGTTCTTCTTCAGACCCTTTGATCTAAACAATGCTCGAATTCTTGAAACATCGTTCCATCTTCGTGCAGAAGCGTAGGTGTTTGAGAGAAGTATATAGTTTCCTACGGCATTCGGTTCCAGTTCGAATAAATGGGTTGCGGCTGTCTCGGCTATGTCGGCATTTCCATGGATACGGCAAGCACCAAGCAAGGCGCCCCAGACACCAGCGTGAGGTGAAATGGGCATGGTTTTGATGAGATTGTAGGCGTCGGAAATGAGTCCGTCCCTTCCAAGAAGATCCACCATACATGTGTAGTGGTCTTGGGTTCGGGTTACACCGTAGTCTTTTTCCATGGCTGCGAAAAAGGTTCGACCTTGGTGTACTAAACCGGCATGGCTACAAGCAGTAAGAACTCCCAAGAATGTTACTTTATTAGGTTTTACATCCGTTTTCACCATCTTTTCAAATAAGTTGATTGCTTCTTGTGCACACCCGTGCATTGCGAATCCAAGAATCATTGAACTGTAAGAGTAAACGTTCTTTTCGGTCATTGTATTGAACACATCGAATGCTTCCTCAATGCTTCCACATTTTGAGTACATGTCAATTAGTGCAGACCCAATGACGACGTTATTTGAAGGTCCAAAACCAGCCCTCTCGGCAACATCACGAACCCATTTGGCATACTTGGTTGCACCGAATTGAGCACAAGCTGAAATGACACTAGCCAGCGTGACCTCATCTGTTTCAACCCGGGCCTCTAGCATTCTATCGAAGTGCTCCAGAGCTTCCTTAGGCTTGGCATTCTGTGAAAACCCCATGATCATTGCTGTCCATGCTACCATGTCCTTCACAGGCAATCTATCGAACAACTCGCCTGCTTCTTCCATGTTCCCATTTCTCGCATAAGCAACAATTAACGATGTCCATGAAATTACATCTCTTTCAGGCATTTCATCAAACACTTGACGAGCACTATCCAACAACTGGCATCTCACGTACATATCGATCAAAGTATTGCCCACATACAAATCAGAAGTAAACCCACCAAGACTTATAACCTGTCCATGAATCTGCATTCCCAAAGTGACCCCACCAGCACCACTACAAGCTTTCAACAAAGCTGTAATAGTAAACGAAACAGGACCAATCCCTTGTCGTCTCATCAAATTATACAACATCACAGACTCCATAAAAGGTCCTTGCACAGCGTAACCCCGAATCAAAGCCGTATACAAAAACGGGTTTGGGTGCTTCACTTGTTGAAACGCACGGCGGGGGTATAAGTCCATAGGGACGTCGAATTTAGCATTCAAGACACGAACTAGCTTCGTAATCACGTAGCAGCATTGATCAAGGCCTTTACGGATGATATGGGCATGAATTTGTTTGGTTTGGTTGAGATTGTTGGAAGAATCGAGGAGAGAGACTAGTTGTGATTCCAAGATTTTTGTTTGCTGGAACTTGAGAGTTTCTTGAGATCGTTGACGATTAGAATGAGGAAATTGCAGTTTAGGGATGATGCTTAGGTTTGTGGGGATTTTGGTGGTTGTTAGCGTTCGAGCGATCGAAACCATCATACGTCAAGTTTCCCAGCAATGAATTGAATTCTTGATGGTTTATTTTGTTTGGGATTTCTTGATGCCGATGCATAATCAAAATTTTAAATTCATTTAATCAAAATTTAAAAAATTGTCGGTATCAATATTATTATGGTAAATACATTTCTACCTACTAATTTCATACATTTGTCAGCATCAAGATTTTTTTTTTTATATTTTTAATACATGAGTTAATCTAATTTTAATATAAAAAAAGTGTATATAACATTCCCCTTACTTGATAAGTGTTTGGTTAACGGCTCTAAATCATGCAAAAACATGCTTGCTTATTAATTATTATTATCTCTTTGTTCAACTAAGAGGTTGTTCGGTAATGACTTAATGGACTGTTAAACATGTATGACTTATTCGGTCAGCCATATATTGTTGTTCGTTTATGGCTTATTCGGTCAGCCAGAAAAATGGAGTCCTATGGACTCAGCTACTTATTCAAACCTTTATTCCAAATCTGCCCCTTCACATTTCTAAACCCCCCCCCCCAAATGCCCAGCGTCTTCCTTTCCACCTTTCTTCCAGCTCTTGCACCTACTTTCGACAACCTACTTCCAGCGTCTTCTCAACCATCTCCTTCTCCGCCGCAGATGCCCTGCTCCTGCACCTATTTTCGACGCTACAACCTTCGTTATCCCCATGGTGCGTTGGGGTGTTTCCCCCTGGTCTCCTTCCAGGTCTTCTCCCTCGCTGTAGCTGAATGTTGCCTTCCGCCATTGATGGATTTGGAGGTATAATCGCCGGTCGTCGCCCTCACCATCACCGGCCGTCCCTCCCTGCTCTCTGCCTCACACACCGACGACCCATCTCCATTTCCTCCTTTGAGTTGCATCTCTCGTTTTAGGGTTTGGATCCTGTTTCCTTCATGTTTTACCCTTGTTTTTTATTTGTTATTAATAAAAAAGATTTGGGTATGTTTTCTAATTTGGGGTTTCATTTAGGGATTTGTTTATAGTTTTATGAATTGATCTATTAATATTGTTGTTTTGAGAAATGTGATCTATAATGTTCTATGTAAAACCAAGGGTAAAATAGTCATTTTTTTATTCAGACTGTTTATTCATCACAATAACCAAACAACAACTTATCTGTTAATATACAGACAACTATATCAATACAGACAACTATATCAATATAGGTCTTAACAGAAAACGAACCGAACAGCCCCTAAAAGTACTATGTTTTTACTTTAGCTTAATCTTTAGACTTACAAATTCCAATTTCCTTTTATTCTTGTCGCCACTTATTATTCCTTGTTAAAAAAACGCCTTTAGAATATGCATTCACTTTATCTTCATTGTTGTCTATCTTTCAAGAGTTCCATTGACACTAAAAGTCGTTGAGACCCTTGTAGCTTAGTTTGCTTTCGAGTTTGAATTTGAACTTTTGTCTGATCTATGGAGACAACAAGATATGCCCCATTATCTGAAACTTTGTATTACTATTTTTTTAAGTATCGAACATTGTAACTTTAAGCTTACTTTGCATTGATCGTGCTTTTTCCTATTTTTACTATGTAACGCTAAATCCAGACATTTAAGGTGTAACACAATACCTTACAAGGTAACCTATTCACTCTATTGAGTTACAACCGGGTTCTAGAAGACAGTTTCATTATGGTAGTATACCAGCCACCTGTTCTAGAAGTAGAAGTTCCAATCGGTGCATATCGATCTGTATCCCTATCGGTGAAAGGAAAAAGCGTTTCATCTAAAGCAATAAGATGCTTAAATGGAATTTTGTACAAATAGAATAACCTATTTATACAGAATGGTAAAGAGGCCGTAGAGAATTGCTTTTCTATAAGTTTTTCTACTTTACAAATTTACGAGTTGTGACGTTAGTACAAACTGTACCAATTTAAAAAAGAACATTACACCCAATTTACGAGTTGGGACGTTGGTACAAACCATTACCTACTTGTTTAAAATTATATTCATTTTCTTTTACGACCCTTGACCGGAAATGACCCCTAGACCCGGAGACCCGAACCCTATGCGGGGCATTCCAGACAAACCCAAAACGATTACGACAGCATTGGTGTTCAACTTCACGAGCTACAGGGTTAATGAACAAAATCACCATCATGTATTCGATGTTTCGTATGTTATTCTGACAATTGCTGGTTGCGACTCGCCGCCTGTAGTTCGTCATTCTCATTCACTTTGAGGGAAACCAGGTATTCGATCTTTGATTTATCCACAGAAATTTAAATCTCAAATCAATAACCTTAAATGAAACAAATGTATTTCACTTCAAGATTTCTTGATGCCTTACACCCTCTTCCTTTTCCTTGTTCTAGTATGAAGCGCAGGATCAGTTTTTTCCTAACCATTTTTACAGGTAAATGGTGAATTTACAGTTTTTTACTCGTTTATGTTTCAAAATTTCATGGGGTTGATTTCTTTCGCCTTTCTGAAGAAACGTAAACTTTAGATTTTTGCTGTCTAACTTGGTATGTTTCAAATGCAAAATTGATATGGATCCAGCTTTAACTTAACCCCCACATCATTATTTATTTTTGTTTTTCTTTCTGAAACGACCAAATAAACCCTTTCAACCAATTGGGCCAAAGGGCGTAGGTAACACCAATGCATTCTATTCATAGTATTTGTTATGAGGTTTAGTTTATTCTGTCAAATTTTCCTTTTCAAGTTCAAAATCCATATCAATCTTGGAATTGAACAGTGTATGTACCCAAATTCAGGGTATGCTTTTATTGGTGATCTCCTTTTTAGTCGAATGAGGGTGGGGTTGGTTCACAATGCTTTTAATCTTGTCAGAATTTGTGGAATTTTAATGGAAACTTTGTTTTTTCTTCTTTTGTTTCCAGCTTTCCTCTATCAAACAGGGAGTGTTGCTGCAGTGGTGGTGCCCCCTACAAATTGCTATGTTCTTGACAATTCTAGCCACATTTATGATTTTGTATCCTACTTCTATGTGTTTTGTGTATCTGTAACCATTTTGAAAGAAAATATGGTAATTACGGCATCTGAATACTTATTTCTGATGTGTTTGCAGTTTAGCAATTGAAAACAATGACTCTTAACTCATCTACCGAAAACTATACAGTCGTAAATTTTTTATAAGTATAAGATTACTTTCACGTTGCCATCTAGTTTTCTTTAAGATATGACACAGAGTAGCTGGCTTGGACTTCCATTTGAGTATGATGGAGGGGTAATGTGTACACAAACAAATCTTTTTTATTTTGTAGTTTAGGATATTTTGCTTTGTCCCTACTGATCTTGGTTTCGTTTTTTAGGATACTGACTATGCAGTTCGGTTCTGTAAAGATATGGAAACTAGATCACAACCGGTAACTCATATTACTTTGTTTTCCTCAAGTTTGATGATGAAAATTAACTTTGTTTCTTTGTATGTGCCTGTGTGGGAGATGTAACCCTCACTAATTTGTTGTGATGATAAATTATAATACTGTTAACTAGCATCTAAAAGTTTTCATCTTTGTCTGCACTGTTGCATATATCTGAAGGCTTTCCCTTGCATATATGTAATGAGGTTGTTTACATGATTCACACCTATAACAATTTTTGTCACAAAAGAGTAACCTTACCTATTCCTCCAAGAATCACCCTATACATCGATCAATACTTGGAATGCTAATAATGACAGAAATATATAATTGCACATAATCATTGTATCTTGTTGGTATTTAAACATTATTTTAGTTGTTTGGAATTCAGTGAATGATATAACTGCCTTCCATGAAGCTGTTAAATGTGATGTAATCTTTACACCTCAGAGTGTATGGTTTGCTTCAGTGGGAACTATCTTGGATAAACTGAGAGAAGGAATATTGAGGTGGTTTGGCTATGTTATAGGAGACCACATATGTCCCCGGTTAGGAGGGTGGAGAGTGTCATTGTTGAGGGGGTGAGGAGGCAAGGTTCGGCCAAGGAGGACGTGGAATGAGCAACCAAGGCTAGACATGGAGGCACGCTTACTTTCCGAGGGCATGAGCTTAGATAGGAGTTTTAGAGGCAGTGGATTAGGGTAGTTGATTTCTTGTAGAAGAGTTTGGGGGAGGTGGTTGAGAGGGTAGAGGGTGGGTTGGGGAAGGGCCGAGAATCTTCACATAGGTTTGCAGTTTCTTTCGGTAGAAGTAGGGAGCTTCTTTAGGTAGTGGGAGTGTTTTATGTGCTTTTTAGCTAGTTAGGCTATTTGCATTCTTATTTAATTATTTATATAATCTTGTTATGTGCTTTATGTAAAGTAATGTTGTGCTTTATAATTTCTTTAGTAACCTTTTTTTGCAAGCCAGGGTTCTTCTTGGAAATAGCCTCTATGTCTTTTGAAACAAGGTAAGGTCTGCGCACATTTTACCCCTTCTAGACCCTATCTCCGCCCTCCTGGAGAGATATATGGGGTTTCTTCAGTTCAGTTTGGTTTTTAGTGTAAGGATTGCTTGCATTGACCAATGAATGAGATATAAGCGCTCTTAAGTTCTAATTCACTAGGGTCGGAACCTGAACATGCTTAACCTATGTGTGTCCAAATAAGCCACTCACAATGATTTTTTTTGCCTTCATATGAGATGGGTTATGAATCACAGGTTTATATAAATGGTTTACATTGTATACTGGACTCTGATTATTTAGGAGATTTTGCATTTTTTCTATTACATTAAATCTGAAAATCCAACTATATTTCCAAGCAAAAGCTGTCTCTTTTTCCCACTGAATGCTGAAAGTATACTTGTTAATTTTTAATCTAAAAGCATGATGGCAACTGTAAATGTATGGGCTTACTGCAGGGATATGTTGGTTTTGGCAGATTTGATGACTTCAACTACTTTGTTGCTGGTTCAGGACATTATGATTTTGTTCAAGTAAGCTCAATTGAGAATCTTGGTATTGTGAACCTCATATGCCAACATAAATCAGAAATTCATGAATCTTTTTTCTTTTCTTTGTCTGATATAATTGTTTCCTCAAGATTCATCTCTCAAAGATATCTCTTATCAGTTAACAGCATACCACTATTTGAAAAAAGCATTAGTTTATCTAATTACACTGAAATATAACCATGCAAAATGACCAAATATTAAGTTAGGAATTTTGGTCACAGTGGAACAACCATCACATCTTGGGATATAACATTAATGAAAAGTATATTTGGATGAGTTATACATGCATCAAAGACCTAAATACCTCAAACGTTGTCTCAATTTGCATGCGGGAGTTTGTTATGTGTCAGGAATTTTACAATGGTGATCTGCAACACTGTGAAAAAAGTCATGATAAAAGGGGGCGTACATCTCAAGTAAGCTTAATGATACCTTGCGGAAGTTACCATACAGTCATTTAGCTGTTGTTCGTTTGGACTACTTAAATCTTTCTTGTTTAAATCCAGTTAAATATCATATGTGGCGATTGCCCAAATGGGCGGTGCAAAGGTACGTAGAGCTACTCTATGAATGAGTTGAAGGGTTTCAATTTAAGCTATAGCGCATCACATGTAGGACTCGATCAAAATAACCAAAAGAAGTTAATAAAAAGGGAGCACGTAAAAATTAATATTGTAAAGTATTGATAAGATAACTGACAATTACCACCAAGTCTATCAAAGTGTAGAACTTTTGAGGTTGATTTACGGTTATATACTTTTAGATGGAGTACACATTTTCATGTTGCCCCTTAAATATAGATATTTTCACAAGATCGTTCTTTCCAGTTATACGGCTTTACAAATGCATGGACGGAACATAGATTACTTTTGCCTCGATTGCTAACTTCATTCAGGCGAAAACTCAGATTTTCAAAAATTAATTGGGCTATGCTTTTAAATTAATTGAGATTAACTGATATTTTAGTTGTAATGGGCTATGCTTTTATGAGTTTTTTACGCCTTAAGAGACACATGCTTTGAAGGTACATCTGTTTCATTATAGCCACATTGATTACCATACGTTTTCCCTCGCCAATTCTCAGGTGGACTTGAATGCGTATGCAATGTTACATTGGAGTCAGATTGCAGGTTTTCTCCAGCAAAAACTCTTGTTTTCTTTGGCAATAGTTATTTAATCCTAGATGCTAATTTAAGTTTGATATTTTAACTATATATTAGTTATCTTTCCGGGACAGATAATACGGCCCTGTTTGGTTTTCCAGTTATGTTTCTAAAAAAGTGTGCATCAGATAGAAAAATTGTGTTTGACAAATGTTTTACGTTTTAGGATACCAAATATAGGCTTACAAAATTTTGTATTGCTGATGATAAATTGTGAACTTGATGTGATGTTACTTTGGTTTACAAATAAAAAGCATCCATAGACCTTTTGGTGCTTTAATGGATTGAGATTTCAAACACAATAAAAATACAATTTCCATCACTAACCTTCATCTTATTTGTTGATGATAAATTAGTCTGAAAATGTTCTCATTTCATTATCAAGCATAAAGTAAGCTCAAATGCATGTTGTTATGACTTTATATCTCGGCTTGAGTTATGTAGTTATTTCAATGTTTTGAGTGCAGAATGATCGTTGATCTTGCAATTCCATGCGAGAAACCAGGTTTACGAGTGTTTGAAGGATCCACAGTGGGTTTTCATCCAAGAACATGGGAAATTGTAAGATATTATATTAACCCCCATTGATTTACCATTAGTTGGAAGTTATGTTGGCAAAATACTGTTATATCATCGACTCACTTCTCAACAACTCGTAGGTTTACAATGGCATGACTCAATATGGTTATGAAAAGGCTTATAAGGACTTCAGGTCAGGATGTGTATCATCTTGTCAGCATTGAATTTTCCATTATTTTCTGGAAAGTTCTTACCTTTGTTTATTTCAGCTTCCAAACGGACCAGAGTCATGTATCACTCTATATGACAGCAATAGCTTCCCTTTCCCATTTAGTACAAAAACCATCCATTACGGTATTTTCTTATCTCAATGGACAATCACTTTCTTTTGTTTCCATCGGTTGGATTCTATTTGACATTATGTTTTTTTGTATTTTTACAAGGTTTCTCCCCAGGACGGTTTGGAGGTTACTTTGTCTGGCTCAGCAGCAACAACTGGGAGTCGGCCGACAACTTTGTCTCCAACTTTGTTAAACATTGATTGGAGATGTATAAAATCTTCTGCTATTATATACTTGCATTTCACTGTCTCTATATCATCCGCAACTCGATTTTCTGAAATTCCCATGAATAATGTCAGGTGAAACAGCACATGATAGCCCATATGAGGTTCAGCTAACTATCCCCGTGGAGGGTTATGATTCCATCCAGTTTACGCTTACAAAAATGTGCGGTAATACTCGGTTTCTTATCTTCCTCCTGCTTGAGATATAAATCTACATTTGACTTGCTTTAGTGGTTGAAACTTGTTTAGAGGTCTTGATTTTAGATCCCAAACTTGTGTATTGCCCAATCGTTTATCAGACGTGTTTGACTATTAATCAAATATCTAAAATACGATCCCATATGAATAATAGTGGAATTATATCGACTTAATTAATGCTATCAATATTCTGTAATGATTACTTCTGGGAAGCAGGTAATCTTCATTTAAAACTTGATCTGATGGATGATTTTTTAAAAGTTGCAGAATCTAAGCAAGATAAAGCCGGAAAATCTACTAAAGGATGGGCTTTATTCGGAATTGTTGCCTGCGTGTATGTAATCTAATCATCTTTATTTGCACAATATATCTTCTATTAATCTCATATTTCAAAAGGCAGCTACTGCATACTTTTGTCGTGTTATTGTTTATTTGCAAAGACATGTGTGTTAATTGATGTGGTTAACAAAATGTCGATGGAGCAGATTCTTTGTAGTTTCAACACTGTTCTGCTGCGGTGGCTTTGTTTACAACACTCAAGTACAAAAGCAGGTAGGCTGCAATTAATTCCCGGAAATTGACCAAAATAGCCGATCTTCCCAACCAAATTCACTTTTTAACCATTTTTTTTAATCAAATTCCCATTTTAGCCGGAGTAAGCCTATTTTCAGATTTAAAAAGAAAATATTTTTGTTTGGTCTGTGTCTGTTTTCTCATTCTACCTTTGTAGGTAGGATATACCGGGCTCTTTTGGTCTGGTTTCGTGTCTATTTTCTCATGAAAAATTCTAAATTATTGTTGATCAATGCAGCATGGAATTGATGCATTGCCAGGGATGACCATTTTATCTGCATGTTTGGAGATTGTAAGTGAACGTATTCTTGTATTCAGTTCATGAGTTCTTGAGACTCTTTAGACCTAAACAAGATCCAAATCTTTTTTTATATTTATTAGCATTCAAGTTTCAATCTTGGAGTGATTGTTGATTGAGAAATTTGTACCATTTTGCGAGCAAAAAAGAACTTTTTTTAACAGTTCATTTTTCATACTTTTTGACACAAAAACTGCAGTTGAGTGGCGTAGGAGGAGGGCCAAGCTACATGCGGCCGGAAGACGTTAACGACGGGTACACGAGTCAAGCCTCGTGGACACGTGAGGCTGAGGGGACTCCAGGATCTTCAAGAACAAGTGAAAGAACATATGGGACTTGATTACCCTTTTGCACTAGGATTCTATATGGTATGTAGTAAAATGGGGGATTCAGATGGTGTCGGTCGGGTCGGGTCGGGTCGGGTGCACGGCATTTTTTCCCCTGATTATGCCCTCCGACTACATTCAAGTGTTTCCCACGTGAAGTTTGGATTTTACACATTTATTCATTTATTTATGTTTGAAACAAGAAAAATAGAGTGTCGATGAAACGACTGAGTTTAGAATTCAATGTTGTTGTAGATGTTTGTGCTCCATATATCTTTGAGGCTTAACCATAAATCCAAAGGGGAAGCTGAACGAGTAGATTGGTTGAAAACTATTATTGAATAAGACGTTTTGATTTTTTAGAGCATCTATATATATTACACTATTCGCGTAATGCAGCGAGATACATATTGATTTAGATATTTTATTTTATTTTTTTATCTCAGTCGATGTTATAGTATGGTCTTATATGATTTTGAAAAAGTGATATATTTTTATTTTTAAATAAAATATAAATTTGAAGATATCATAAAATTTTGACAAAAATATATCGATATTAATATCAAATTAACTTTTTAAAATTTCTATTTTTTGTGTAATTATTTGATTCATTATTTTCATTATAATTTAATTTAGGTTCAATAACGAAGTAATATATATTTTGATTAATAATATAATTTTCTTATAAAGATAATAATTAAGTATTTTGTTAGAACTTGATAATTATCCTAATTATATTTTAGATTTTTTATATTTTAAAATGAGATGTTTATCCTGTATATGGTTATGTTTATCTGCAGTTAGTTACACGAATTCAAACATTAAGCTTTAATAAGTTGTGTTTATGCATAATTTACTTGTAATCTTGAATTTTAAGTAATATGCATCAACATACAATACTTCATGCATAAAGAAATGGTTTTTAAGAGTTTTTGTCAAATGATTTATAATATAGTATAGATATTGATATTTTTATAAAAACCTCGATTATATCAAATATTGGTTATTATTTAATCATATGTTTTTATAAGAAACTGGTGTTTTAACAAGAACTTAATCCTTGTATTTTTATTATTTTCTATTGTTTTTAACTATTTTATTTTAATAAATCTAAAATTATATTTATAAAATGTATAAATTGAAATTAAAAAAATATAACTTAATAATTATAAGAAATATTTTCATTAATTTGTTTCTTGTAGTTTTTTATACGGGATTTTTATTAAAATAACCATTTTATACAATCTTTTGCCATAAAATAACCAATTTTTAGAGGTTTTGCGTTTTTTACTACCCAGATCTACCCATAGGGCGATCCGTACACATATGGGGTGATCCGTACTTTTTTGGGGCGATCCCCAATAGAATTCTAAAAAAAAATTCTTAAAAGTCGAGATTACTGTTCACCTTGAAAACCGGGTTGTCAGATCTACCCCTGGGGCGATCCGGCCTTTTAATTTTTTTTTTTAATTTTTTTTTGGTATTTTTAATAAAATTGATACGCCATTTAAGTTGTGTTTTTTTAACCTTTTTAGAACCAAAATTCATGGGTAAATGTTTAAAAATAAACCATTATAATTATGGAGATGCAAAAATTATTTTTATCTGTTTTGGGTTTTGTAAATCAGATATAATATCTGATTTACGAAATTTGACCTCTATTTTGTTATTTTGTGTTTTTTTTATTAAAAACACCCCTTAATTGTTAAATAAAAAACACAAAATAACAAAATAGAGGTCAAATTTCGTAAATCAGATATTATATCTGATTTACGAAACCCAAAACAGATAAAAATAATTTTTGCGTCTCCATAATTATAATGGTTTATTTTTAAACTTTTGCCCATGAATTTTGGTTCTAAAAAGGTTAAAAAAACACAACTTAAATGGCGTATCAGTTTTATTAAAAATACCAAAAAAAATATTAAAAAGCTGGATCGCCCTAGGGGTAGATCTGACAGCCTGGATCGCCCTTGGGGTAGATCTGACGACCCAGTTTTCGAGGTGAACAGTAATCTCGACTTTTAAGAATTTTTATTTTATTTTTTTTATTTTTAGAATTCTATTGGGATCGCCCTATATGTGTACGGATCGCCCTATGGGTAGATCTGGGTGGTCAAAAACGCAAAACCTCTAAAAATTGATTATTTTGTGGCAAAAAGTTGTATAAAATGGTTATTTTAATAAAAATCCCTTTTTATACAGGTTTTGTGTATTTTGTTTCAATAAGTTTAAATTTTTAAATAAAGTAAATAAATAAAATTTAATTATTCATAAGTTAATAAAGTGTATATTGATCTTGTTCTATATTTTATTTATGTAATTTTCAAATGCTTTTAAATATATAGATTATGATGAAGTAGATAATTCAGTGTAACAAAGTTTTATCTGTTTCAGTAACATATTCAAATACTATATATTGATGTGGTCGAATATATTTTGGTCAAATCAAAATTACTATTTTTATTTAGTGGTATTTTGAATATTTACGTAATATGCACTTCTTTTAATTATAATAAAAAATTACTTTTATGTTTATAATTGTTTCTCAAGTTAACAAAATATATAAATTATGTCAAATATAAATGGACTTGTGATTAGGGATGAAAACAGTACGAGTAATTCATCCCTAATCCTCATGGGCGGAACCACCCTTTGTCTGTGCTCAACCTCAAAATCAATGGAAAACTAGTGTGTTTTTTTTAAAAAAATTTAATATAAGCAAAATAATTAATTTCAATAAAAACTATTTCAAATCTTTAAGGTGGGTTTGGTATATAAACATGATTGGACATGACAGAATTTGACAGTGCAAGAGGGTAGGATTAGACATAACTGGATGTGATTGGATTTGACAAAACAAGTGTATGTCTGGTTTTTATACAATTACGACTGAACGAGACAGAACTAGACAAATTATCCCAAAAGTTATTTGATGATTTTAAAGATTATATAATAGTTATAATTAACACAAATAAAGTAAATAATTAAAAAGTTTAAATTATATATATTGTTACACAATTTTCATATAAATGAATACATACATATAAAATGGTACTAAATTTGAATGAGAAATTTAATTTGATGGTAGTAGTGGTGGTGGCCGACATAGTAGTGGCGATGGGCGGTGGTGGTCGGTGGCCAACGCTTGTTATAGAGGTAGAGGTAGTTCTGGTTGGTGGACGACAATGGTTATAGAGAACGTGAAGATAGTGGATTGTGGTGGTGGTGACGATTGACAATGATTGAGGAGGTAGTTGTAGTTGATGTAATGAAAATAGTGGTGGTGGTGATGGTGGCAATGAACGGTGGTGGTCGATGGTCGAAGGTGGTTGTTGCAGTAGAGGAGGAGTTGGAGGTGGTCAACAATGGTAGTGGTGGTGGCAATGGATGATGGTGGTTGGTGGTGGTTGTAGAGGTGGCAATGGACAATGATAGTCGGTAGTCGACAGGTCATGGAGGAAGTTGTTAGTGGTCAGTAGTCGACAGTGGTTGTGGAGGAGGTTATTACAGTATAGGAGCAGTTGACGGTGGCTAACAGGTGGTAGTATTGGTGGTAATAGATGGTGGTGCTCGGTGGGCGATGGTGGTTGTAAAGGTGGGAATGAACGGTGGTACTCAGTGGTCGACAGTGGTTGTGGAGGTGGTGAAGAAAGTTGTTGTAGTAGAGGAGTTGGAGGTGGCGAACGATGGTGGTGGTCGGTGGTTGACTATAGTAAAGGTGGCGATGGACGATGGTTGTAGAGGCGATGGAGAAGTGTTGTTGTAGTGGACGAGGAGGTAGAGGTGGAGGTGGAGGTGGAGGTAGAGGTAGCCGTCGGTGACCTCCGGTGGTAACATTCACCGTCTTCTGTAATGTTGATGGTGTCTTATTTTATTATCTTTTAAGCAATTCTTCTGTCTTTTATAGTGTTGAATAAGTAAAGGTTAATGTTATTTCATTTTATAATGAAATTGGTTAATTACATGCATATATTTTATTAAAGGTTGTTATTAATATAAAATATTTATATATTTATTTTATTGTTTTATATCTATATGGATCACCTTAAGTAATATTCGCACCTACCAACCCTCGTTTATCCTCCATCCTCGATCCCACCCCGGTTAATCCTTGACGGGTTCGGGGAACCCGTTAGATACCTATTTAGTAAAAAAACAACATATTTTAAAAATAAAATATATTGAATCATCACTACATTAATCACCAATATTGAAAATCAAAATATATTTATCATTTAATAATAAAGGTATACATAGAGACATCTTCAAATGCAACCAACTTAAATGGTATAACCGTTACAACCAAGGGTATTTGGGTCTTTTTTACAAATTCATATTTTTAAGAAAAATTTAGATTTTTCTTAAAAAATATTAAATATCTTATTTGGTTATCATACGTAACCGACTTCGTCTTTTAGGAATAGTTCAAATTTTTCGTAAAAATTATTAGTTTCTTAATAAATGAACCATTGATAACCCATTCAAAAATATAATACAACAACAATTCATAACCATTTATAACTGTAATATAAAAATAATTCATGATCATCCATAATCATATACAAAAATTCATCACATTTTCATATATGAAACAATATGAAAAATGATCTCCACGTGAAAAAACAGTATACAAAAATGATCAATATGCAAAAATTCATTATTTTTTATATATGAAAACTTCATGTACAAAAATGATCTACATACAAAAATTCATCACTGTTTCATATATGAAACAATTTGAAAAATGATCAACATGTGAAAAAAGCGTATACAAAAACGATCCATATATAAAAATTCATCACTTTTTCATATATAAAACCATATACAATAATGATCTATATATGAAAACGTTCATATACAAAAATGATTCATATACAAAAATTTATCACTTTTTCATATACAAACAATATGAAAAATGATCCACATGAAAAAAAAAATCACCTTTTCATCTTCATCATTTTTTCACAAACGAAGTCATGATCTCAGAAATGAAAGCTTCCGACTGTTAATATTCTCAGACCATCCATGCAAAATCTTTTAAGTGTCGGCTCCACCGTACTTCTAGCGGCATTCAACAAATAAAAAGAGAGAGAAGAGAGAGAGAGAGAGAGAGAGAGAGAGAGAGATAAAAATATGTATGGATATTACCCAGAAAGAGAGAGAGAGATAAAGGTGGTCGGTGGTTGTGGGTTACCGACGATTGCCTGATAGAGAGAGAGAGAGATTTTGTGAGAGAGAAATGGAATGAGAAAATTAGTGAATTAATTATGAAGATATACATGGTCTCAAAATTACTTTTCCCTGATTTTTTTAAATTAATTAAATTTTCAGAAAATTCTCAGCTGTTGATCAAGAGCATGGAAGGTCAAGATTGAATTGTAACTGTTGTATCCTTTAATTTGGTTATATTTAAAGATGTCACTACATATATATTTATTTATACACACTGTATACATATATTAAATAAAATAAAAAATTAATTAAGGTCGGATTAAAAACAAATAATACCATTCTCGATCCTCTTTCAAGTATGAAAATAAATTTCCGTCCCAATCCTATTACCCGTCAAAGCAAGAATCTCGACCCTCTTAAGATTATGGGTACCCACCCCATCGGCTAAAATTTGCATGTCTACTCGTCTAGGGATGGCAATGGAGCGGGGATGGGACGGGGACCTCAATACCCGTCCCCGTCCCCGTCCCCGATCCCCCGTATGTGTCCCCGTCCCCGTCCCCATCTCCGCCGGGGATTATGATCACATCCCCATCCCCGTCCCCAACGGGGAACGGGGATCCCCACCGGGAAACGGGGATTTTTTTTAAAAACAAAAAATTATTGAAATGGTAGATGATTAATGGAAACCTACTACCAAAGTGGTAAAACTCTAGTTAAGGTAAACATTAGTTCACAAATCAAG